TTCCTATGTACATATATAGGAAATACACCATAGTGTATCTCCACATCATGTACAACCAAAAGACTGGGATGGACCCTAAAGATATATTCCATGTTTGTATAAAAATGTCAAAAAACTCTACTGTCATATGTAACTAAAGCTCATTAGGGAGACTTTTTTCTAGCATTCAGTGATTCTTCCCTGCTCCTCCACTATTTTAAACTATATAAAATAATAAGTGAAAAGTCTGTGAGCTTGTAAAAAAAAAAAAAACTGCATATCACAGCTCTAGCAGTAGCAAACACCTTAGAAGATCTTCCCTTCTCTTTCCTCTGATCAGCTGCAGTTCAATTGCCAAATGGCAGTTTCATTTCCTTTTATACTCCAACGACCTTCTCATCTGTGGTGGTTACAGTGATTACAGTGAGATACAGCAGGTTATGTAACTATGAGTACTGCAGGTCATATCACAGGCAAGGGGAGAGGGATGGGGGACACCAAACAAGTACAGAACTATAAAATTAAACAATGTTTATGAAATGTTATATAGGTTAAGTTCAGCAGAGTCAACTGTGCCTGAAGTCTAAAGGAACTCTTATTCCCCAATATTTCCTCCCAGGTGATTTCTACACTTCATTCCTCTACTTCAACTAGACAAAGTTGATCAAATTACCTTAAGAACATGGGTCATCAAGGTTGGCAACATCTATCAACACATGGCTTTTTACCTTCCTCACTACCTCAAGTAAGCCTGACCTATCTCAATACCCACATCATTGGTAACACTACAATATCACATTTTCTTTCCTAAATCCTAACTTCTCCCCTTGGGAAATAAATAGATCACTTAAACCACAAAACATAACCTTCCCTTGGCCAAACTCCCACTCCCTGAAGCCATCACAGCTGATGCTCTATGAAATAACTACACTTCATTCTCTACTTAATTACAATCACTACTCAATCAGAAGTGTATGGCTTTGGCTTTTGCACCTGTCCCTTAACACAAACAGATCTCCCGATGATCAACTATACCTAACTAATATCAGATGTAGACTGCAAATACCCTCCAATTTACCCTTGGGTAACAGATGATACTGACCACCTTTATTGTTTGAAATTCTCATCTGTTTCTCAAATTCTCCTTGTCTGGTTCTCCCCTCCACTGTGTTAACTGGCCTTCTCCATCTCTTTCGATTCTTCTTGCTTTTTGACTATTGCTGCACCAAGGGTCCCGACACTGCTCCTCTTTGCTTGTTTTTGGATGACCTCTCCCACTCCTTTTTAGCTTCAATATTCTCATCACAGGAATGACTCCCAAAACTCTAACCTTAACCTCCTCTATAATGTAATTCCACTGACAGGAGGCAGCTGACCTGCAAAGCAGCATGAAGGATAAGGAAGGCTCAAGAGATCATCTGAAAGGCTTCACTAAGATATAATTCACAATTTTCTCAATAAGCATATAACTTTTGTATATTCATAGTTTACTATATTCAGAACCACAAATCTAATTTTAGAACATTTTCATCACCTGAGAAAGCAGCTCTTTATGCTTTAGCAATCATCTCCTATGTCTTCCCAACTACCTCCCATTCTATATAACCACTAATTTGTCTCTGATTTGCTTGTTCTAAACTTTTCATATAAATGCAGGAAGACAACATGAGGTCTTTTGTGAATGGCTTCTTTTCTCAGTACAATGTTTTCAAAGTTCACCGACATTGTTTCATGTATCAGAACTTCCTTCATTCCTTTTAACTGACAAACAATATTCTATTTTATGTGTTTGCTGCATTTTGTTTATCCATCTATTAGTCAGTGAACATTAGGGTTGTTCCTACTTTTTGAAATTATGAAAAATATTGCTTATTGTATAAGTTTTGGTGTGGATGAATATTTACATTTCATACCCAATAACTGCATGTTGTAGGGTTCTTCTGCACACTGTGACATGTTCGGCAATATCCCTGGCCTCTATCCACTAATTGCCCATAGCACTCTCCCAGTTACAGCAAGCAAACTTGTCTCCAAACACTGCCAAATGGCCCAACTGGGCGGCATGTCCCAGCTGAAAGCCTGGCAACACATACCAACACATGGCTTCTTCTACTAGAGAACTATGATTTCTTTTGTAAAATTTTGTGTCTACATAAATCTTAGCCTAATATCATAAAACAAAATTTAAATATGACAGCATTAAGACCCTTAAATGTTAATGTTAATATCTAAATATTTAATCCTTACATTCTTTTGTTACTATCTCTCTGCATGTCCCAGTTCCACTGGCCAAGTCAGCTTCAACTAGTTTTCCCAATGACATTTTATTTAGAGACAGGGTCTCACTGAGTTACTTAAGCATCCCACTGTTGCTGAGGCTGGAATTGAACTCTTGATCCTCCTGCCTCAGCCTCCTGAGGCGCTGGGATTACAGGTGTGCGCCACCACGCCTGGCTCCTTTAAAATTCTTGATCACAGAAAAATGTACAGTGAAATATTCACAGGTAAATAGGCATAATGTCTGCAATTGGTCTCAAATGGTTCAAAGAAAAAATAAAGGTATATTTAAATATATATGTACATATACATAAAAATGTACATTTGTGTACACTAATAAATGGAATAAAATGTTAACAACTGGCAAAAATGGAAGTTCTCAGAATTATTCTTTATGCTTCAAATTACATCAAAGTAAGAATACAAAAAAGAAAGCAATTACAAAAAATTATGAGGACAGATTTAAGTAGGCAATTTACAACAGTTCCAATTAACATGATACCATTCTAAATGATCAAATATATTTGACATAAAATATACAAACACATTTTACAAGGTTTCTTAGTATTCATGTCTACCCTAAAAGACAAATCACCTTTTAAAAAAATCATCAACTGAACCCATTTTTTTTCTAAGTTTCAATCTTAGATCCTTCTCCATGGTACAAAAGCTAAATAATTATTCAACTTTCCTTAATGATCAAACGGGTGATCGCCAGATAATTGCTAAAATTAGATATTAGTCAAAACTGGGTTTCTTGATAATGATTTTTCCCTAATTTGCTGCAACAGCAGCTATTGCTAAGTTCTTTCTCGTATGCTTAAAGCCAACCCACTCAAAGGAAGGAAAACTTGATTGTAGTGCAGTTTGCCAACAAATGGAACTTATGGTCACATAAGCACTCACCCATAAGCCAGTAGAAGACCATCCTTAAGATCAAGATAAACTTTCTTTAAACAAGGAATTACTTCTTTGGCAACACTGCAATAGTGCTTACCATTTTCAGAGGACAGGTTTTCCAAAGCTTTATCTAAGGACTTTATATGCAACGCAACTTTCATTGATTTCCCTTCATATATATATATATTAATGTTTTGATAGCTCCATTATAGCCTGATACTTCTAAAATCTGCCCAAGATTTTTCAATCTTTTTTCTTTCCAAAAAAAACTAGAGCAGGAAGTGTTATCTCTCTCCCCAACTTCAAGATACCATTACAATGATCCCTAAACTTATAACCAAAGTCTGCCTTAACTTTTAAAAACAAAACTAAACATAATCTGGAGCAAAAATAAAAATGCAAACTCAAAGAGGAATTTAAAAAAAAACAAGGCTAAGAAAATATTTGCTTCTTAAAAAGAATTAAGTTAACATACTAAAAATACAAAATTGGTTATTAGGAGGAAAATGATGAAAGAATAAGGGACAAAGGAGAAAGTGATTAAACTCAGTGTAAGCCTCACCCCTCAAAGCAGTCACTATTGACTGTCCGTAACTCTGTGTGAGAAGTCACAGACACTTTACCCCATACAACCTTTCATAGTTTTCTATTACATATATACAGTAACTTGAAAATAAAAGAAAAGGTTATGACCCACCACATGCCTTCAAATCCCAGTTTTGCTTTCACAATTTGTTAAAATTCTATGTACGTGAATGTAGTAGCTCCTGGCTCTGATAGAATAAAGATGAGTTTCATCCAAAATCTCTGATATGACTTAATATCTATTTGCTTATCACCAGACTTTTTCTCCTGAACATAATCCCAGCCCCAGATCCCTAAGAAAGGCCTGATTAAATACATCTAAAACAAGTTACATTAATTTTCCATACCATATAAAAGTGTATTAGATCAAGGAGAATCATGACATAGCTAGTTACCCAATGAATTATTTTATTCAAGATGCTATCTCAACAGTAGCTAATCCTGGATGTTTTAAATGTACTATATCATTTAAACCATACAACAACCCATATCTTCATCTTACATTGATTAAAAACTAAGATTCAGTGGTTCAGTAATTTGCCTAACATCAGCTGAGGCTTAAACCCAGATTTGTCTGACTGAATTATGCTACAAATGGGTAGCCATTATATATTACTGTTCAGTCTACCAAAAGGCAGCAGATTTTCTAGAATAGCAAATTATAAACTTTAAGAAACTGCTTTCTAAAATAGAAATTTTCCTACTTTAGAAACTGATTTTAAAAAGCAGATGTATGTACCTATAACACATTTAATTTTATATTATAAATAATTTCCTAAATATGAAATATTCATCTTTTTAAACTGGTAAGGCCTTTGAAGAATAAACATATTACTAACTTATATCTATATTTGAATAATATCCATAAAGTTAACCAAAGTAGATTTAAAATTTAATATAATCACAAATACAGGGAGAAAATGGTTGTTTCTTAATAAAAATGCTTTTACCACCTTTTCCCTTTTAATTGTCAAGGATTACTGCTCCTCCTTAAATTAGCAATAGCCCCATTAGTCACCAAATGCTTCCATGTATTCTACTCTCTTCTATAAAATAGTAAATGGAATTTAAAATCTTCTAAGCAGTCCACTGTAATGTGGCATGATAAAACAAATTTAAACTTCATTTCTTAAAGAAAAATAAACTTTTCTTTCAACAACACATTTTATAAAACCTGCAGACAAATGATTTTTGAGTTATAATTAAGTTATCCATGAATATTAGCACAAAAAAATACTGTTCAATTGTTAAAAGGATATAATTTGGAGGAAGAAAGTTCCAGCTCAAGACTTGATTGGCGAGTGCAAGGTAACGCTGAAACACTGAAGACATCTGCGCATTGAGGTTTTCCCGCCTGCTGAACTCCTGCAGAACTTCAACAGTTAACATGAAGATCTGACGAAGGTCTTCTTCCTATCATCAATAAATCACAAGCATTTTTGTATCTAAAACTTATTTAAAATGCATTCCCTTTTAGAACCACAAAATAAAACAAATAAGAACCTTAAAATTCCCACTGGAAGACACTATTTCCTTAAGAACGTTTTCCATCTTGAGGACTACTCAGAATTTTTACATTAGAGTATGCTTTCAAGTGACACGTTTTACTATAATATAAATGCTACTCCATAGAGAGGAGTCTTTGACAACTACTGCAGAGCTGGAGTCAGTTGCTATAGTGCAGAGCCCTAGGATTTAAGCCAATGCCTTCACATAACTTTACTCCAGAGCCAAACAATACATACTAGAGAGACAAAGAGCCCACACCATCTGCAATAACATTTTAAATACATGGCCCTCTTTGGCATTCTGCCAGTCCTATTTTTAAGACCAGCAGAATCCTATCAATTGAATCACTTATATATAAACATGTTAATAACAAAATAAGGCATCTTTATAGTCATATCTTCTGTTTTGTTTCAAGACTAGAATTAAATAAGTAATTTTTAAAACTGTCAACTACATTGCCCAAACTTATCATTTCACTATATTCTATGAAATCACAACACAAATCCTTGGATACTAGCAATCATTCAATTACATAAATGTTCTCATTTATTAGGAACAAACAAAAACGATCCAATAATTAAAACACAAGAACAAAAATGCTAATACCTGAAATACTCTCTTGCAGTTACCATGGAATTCCATACTCAGTCCAATGTTGCTAGTTTTACTTGAACTTGAGAATTCACTCAATAGTGCAGTTAAAATAGAACAGGCCAGTGTTTGCTGTATTTGGTAAGAAATAATTTTAAGGCATTATTTTTTTTCAATGCTTTGTTTCAATACAATATTTGTTCAGACATAATAGAACATATTCTATCTTAAAAAGATTATCCATTACATCTTCAGATCTTATATCAGTCAGAAAATCAGATATGACAAAACAAAGATTAGCTCTCCTTTCTGGGTGGCCTGGTGTTAACAATACTTGTCAATTCCAGCTGTACAAATTCATTTAGGCCTTGAACTTAGGATACACTCCTATTTAATCACAAAATTCAAATGGTATTTTTAAATAATCAATCTTAAATGCATTATTTTATTTAATTCGCACAACAAACTAGATCCCATTTTACAACTGAAAAAACTGAGACTTGGAGAGGGTAAGTATTACCTAAAGCCGGCTGAGATTTGAACCCAAGTCTGTCTGACTCAATGTTCTGATGCTTGTAAGATGTATCTCAAAACAGATGAAAAGTAAAAGACTTTTTAAATTAATTTTTAATTGACACATTATAATTATATAAAATGGTGGGAGACACTGTGGCACATTTGTATCATGAAAATAATTTGGTCAATTTCAATCTCCAAAAAGATGGAACACTTCACAAATTTACATGTCACCCTTCACAGGGGCCATGCTAATCTTTCTTTTCTCTGTATTCATTCCAATTTTAGTGTAGTGCTGGTGATGAAGAGAGCACTAAAACAGACTTAATAGTCTCCAAAGTTTCAATCAGGTACTACTCAAAAAGGTTAAAAATTAAAAATGAGGATTTTTCCTTCTTTCTAATTCCAATAGGCTCAGAATATCAACTCATTAATTTTATTCATAGATTATTTAGAATCAAGGTGCCAAAGATGGAGATAACAATACAAATTATTTTGGCATTTTTCCAGGGGTTAAAAAGAAATATGCTTGCTACCTCTGAACAACCGAAAGATGAAAGTCAAGATGATACTATTTTTGCAAGCTTATACAACAGCTGAACACAGTCAGACCCACCCACCAACTGCATGCAGCATCTTTGCTCAGAAATGCTTCTGATGTTAGTACCTTGACCTTACAGATGCTTATCTTGGCAAATCTTAGCAAATATATATAAAATTAAATTTCTAAAGACTGGAAAGAGTTGATATTTGTTGAAGGTGAGCAATGATTACATGGGAGACTGACATAGTGCTCATCTATCTTTATATACATCTGAAATTTTCCTTTAAAAATGTAAAAACAAAAAAGAAATTCCTATTCTTTTTACCACCTTTTTATCTCAACCAAAATAAGCATGACTATATAACTAATATGTTTTAGCAGGCATACAATTCCACATATTAAAGTGGTTTCCCAGAATTTTCTACACCAGGAAGTAACTGTAAATAATCTGAGGAATATGAAGGTATCCATCAATGGTGCTTTCTATAATGATAAAAGTTCTCTGAGTGCTCCTGATTTATCTTGAAACACACACACACACACACAGAGGTGTTGGTGTTCGGCTGGTTTTTGTATGGACACCTGCACACCCTTGCTGGGGATGGAACCCAGGACCATGAACATGCTAGGCAAGCGCTCTACCCACTCTCACACTTTGTAAATTTTACTTTAAAGTATATATTTATTTTTAAAATATAAGTTTCCCTCCTCCCCAAATCTTCAAAAGAGTGGCTGTTTAACTGCTTTTGCATGTCTCAAAAAAGAACCATGGTCTGAGAAATCCAGCACAAAAGCCTCTCCTAGAAAAAAAACTGTTTATGGCATGTCATTTTACTAGAGGGACTTCAATTTATTGAGTAAGATAACTTTGGTTTTTGTTTTTTCTAAGAGTAGAATTTATTGAAGAACAGAACTCTTACACTCAAGAGGGGACCCAATGGCAGGTTTTCTCCTAATAACTTCATTTTTGAGTTAACAAAATTGATAATGTGGCTCATGGTTAAGCGCCCCTGGGTTCAGTTCCCAGTGCCCCCTCACCCCCCAAAAAGAAATGAGTTAACAAAATTATAATTTTTAAAAAGTCTTTCTTTTAAAATGGTGATTAAAAATTAAAGTGCCAGTAATTGAAACCTCACAAACACATTTAAATTATATCAGATCAACTGTGAATATTAATTTTTAAATATAGCCAGAAAAATAGGTATAAAATAAAGCAATAAATAGGCACAGTAAATCAAATTAATAAAATTCAAATGAAAGCTAATTCATAAAGATCTAAAAAACAGAATTTCAAGATCTTTGATTCTGGAGACAATTTTTAATATCCTGTATTTTTTATAAGTGTTAGTCTTGGATTTTGACCTAAAGTTTGTAAATAAGAATTCAGTGAAAAGGACCTTGGAACAGATATCTAAATGTTTAAGAGACTCTAAAATGAGATAATTTATTGAAAATAGAATTCACACACAACTTATACGAAAAAACAGGCAAGCATAAAAATTCAGAAGCATCCTTAGACAAACCATCATCCTTACAAATAAACAATCCATAATAATTTTGCACAAGTAATTTACAACTTACCATATATTGAGTGTCTTCACAAAATGGCACATTTAAACTATGATCATATTAATATTTTCAGTAAAACACCTCTAGTAAATGTTCAATACATACAATAAAGTTTTAATTAAATGTGAAATGAGTGTTTCCTTAAGATTATACACATATGCTTATTGTCAAGATATGGAACAATGCCAGGCATGGTGGCATACACCTGTAATCCCAGAGGCTCCAGAGGTTGAGGCAGGAGGATCTCGAGTTCAAAGCCAGCCTCAGCAATTTAGTGAGATGCTAAGCAACTGGGTTAGACCCCATCTCTAAACAAAATACAACATAGGGCTAGGGATGTGGCTCAGTGGTGGAGTGCCCCTGAATTCAATCCCCAGTACCAAAAAAAAAAAAAAAAGATATGAAACAAATTAGTGGAAAAAACAGATAAGGCAAAGACAGGTGAAAGGTTACTGCAGTTCAGAATCAGGAAAGATTTTTAAGTCTCCTTTAGCTATAAACTTCAATGAACAAACAAGGAGTCCCCAGGAGCATAAAATTGCTTTTAAGCTTTGGCAATAAATACATTCCTCCAAGAGAGAATATTCATACTAATGATGAACAAATTCATCCATAAAAGTATACTGTTCCTCCTACCCCTGAGTACTGGGGATTGAACAGTGATGCTTAACCACTGAGCCAGATCCCCAGCCCTTTTAATTTTTTTTTATTTTGAGAGCCTCGCTAAATCGCTGAGGCTGATCTTGATCTTTCGATCCTCCTGCCTCAGCCTCCCAAGCTGCTGGGATTATAGGCATGTGCCACTGCACCTGGCTAAAAGTACTTTTTTTTTTTTTTGCCTGTGGTGCTGGAGATTGAACCCAGGGCTTTGTACATGTGAGGAAAGCACTGTACCAACTGAGCTATAGCCCCCCAGGCCCATTCTTAATATATGAGAATCAGGAACAAAATGAGTTTTCATTACAGACAGCTCTCTGAAAAAAAAAAAAATTTTCATTCTTAATTGTTTTATCCAGAAAAATAATACAGTATATCTTCATCTCAGAAAAGCACACGAAAAAGTGAATATTGCCTATTATCCTATCATTCCTATTTCTTAATGCATATGTTATTTATATACTATTACTATTAATCCACATATATTATTTTATAGTCTACTTTTTATACTTATGGAAAAGACAAATCTATAAAAACGTTTTCTATCCACATACTACTTAAGGAATACATAAAAATTATGCAGCATGAAGAAATATTGTTTATAACTATGTAAAAATTATCAGCATCCAAAGAACTAAAATTCAGAAAGAGATCTGCATCATTAAAATATATCAAGTAGTTTGATCTCTCTTTAATTTGGAAAACCTGTAAGGATATGAGATTAGCATCATAAACAATAAACACTATACAAAAGGGCCAAATGAATAAATTCATTCATCAAAGAAAGATGAATAATTAAGCGTTAATTATACATTAAGAGAGCAAAGTATTTCAACACATATCAACAAACATTTCTCCCTATTCACAGGGGTACTAAACATATCACAAAATGTCTACGGCTCAGTAACAAAAGTTTACTCATTTTCAGTGTTTGTCAATTAAATCCCCTTAAAATTAAGCTACCCTCACATTGTATTGTCATGAAGATAGGTAGGGAAACAAGCCAAAAATGAGCTCTCTAAGGAGAACAGAGGGCAGCTCCTTTCCAGGACAGAGAAAGTGGGAATGGAGAAAAAGCATCAAATCTGCCAAGAAGAGATCACAAACTTTAACTCGTGCATACCCTTGTAGAAGTTTTCTAACTGCTTGTCTCAGAAATTTAGGTCTCAGTGGCCATCCTAAGTGTATAACCTCTTAACTCCCCTTCTAACTTTAAGCGGCAGAACCAGAACTAGATTCTATAATAGAGATAAGAACTAAATATTATCATATTGGAAATAGTGACTCCAATATTGAGGAGGCTCAGAAACAAACACTCTTGTAAACAGCTTCAGTGAAATCAGATGAAAGTTGACTGAGAAAAGCAGTATGAGACTGTCATACTAAAGTTACCAGGAATTTGACCAGAGTCCAAATCTCAGACTTCTAAGAGGTTAACAAATAATGCTTTATTTATGCCAGATCACAAAGAATTAAATTTTTAAGTGCAGTGAGTAAACTGTATTAATGAAATCATACACTTTTGCAAAAGAATTATTTCAGTAGCAATTATTACCTAACGTTAGAACAAAGTAACTACTCGGAACTACAGTGTAAGCCTCTGACAAAGTGGTGTCAGATTCATACTTTTTGATTTATGTTTGCTTCACAAGCAGCTTGTCTGTCACTCACTGCTGCTGGCAATTTACCACCAACAGGTAGCTCTAAATTTATCATTTTCATTTGCAGATAAACTAAACAAAATAACAAAATGTATTGAGCCTGTATTGTAAATAAAATAAGTGAAAAACACTGTAATAAGTAAATAAGTAAAAAACACTCTAAAGGACTCTTTGCATCCAATATG